TTCCATCTCTCCACAATCCTCAACTCTACTCTGCCTTTAACATAGTTGTAGTTCCTTCATAAAACTTCAGTTCACAGTAAAAACACAAATACTCAACATGGTGGATATAAGAATTTAAAAGCTGGATTTCAAAGTGTTCCTCAGAAAAACAGTTCAAGATTTTTTTAAAAAAAAAAACAGTCCTAGAAAATGTGACATCATGGGACTTATTATGTAAGTTGCATGGCCATTTCTTCAGTAGCTCTGATGGCATTGAAGGCATCCACAATCCCCTCTTCTACAGTGAGAAGCCAGAGCCAGCAGTGTGGAAAAGCCCCAATGGTCAGAAATCCCACTAGAGAAGTCAAATGGACCTCCCAGCATCCCCAGTCTTTGGTTTCCAGTTTCACTGTCAGGAGCATCACTGGACCAATGGAAGCTCTCCTTTGTAACAGCCTATTGGATAACTTTGATGAAGTCAACTCTAGATGGAAGCTCTCCATTGTAACAGCCTATTGGATAACTTTGATGAAGTCAACTCTAGATGGAAGCTCTCCATTGTAACAGCCTATTGGATAACTTTGATAAAGTCAAAGTTATGGGCAACTATACAAAGCGTACAAACTGAACTTGGCCAGAAAGTAGAATTTCCTAATTTTACCCAAAGGGATGGCTGTATGTATGTATGTATGTATGTACGTATGTATGTATGTATGTGTGTATGTATGTATGGTGGTGCGGGGACTTGAAGTAATGCCTTGGGCACACTACACAAGCACTTTAGCACTGAGATACATTTCCAGGCCCTAGATTGGCCTGAGATTTACAATATCTGAGCTTCCCAAATAGTGGAATTATAGGTATGTAGCATCACATTCAGCTAGCAAAGTAGCCTTTACTTACTTAATAATATTTATTTATTCAGTCTCACATAGTCCAGACTAGTCTCTAACTTGTAGGCCACTTGTAGGTCTGGAACTTGTGGCCTGGAACTCTGATCCTTCTGCCTCCATGTCCGTAAGTGCTGAGATTACAGGCTGTGGCAGTAAGCCTGACTGGGGGGACTTTTAAAATCATAAACTGAAGATTTTCTCTCTTCACCTAACCCACTCCCATGCCTAACTACTAGCCCTGCCTTCTTTAAAACAGCCCTGGGTAAATGGTGCTTTTTTGGTAAGCCTGTGTGTGTGTGTGTGTGTGTGTGTGTGTGTGTGTGTGTGTGTGTGTGTGTGTAAGTGAGAGCTTTAGATCCTCTGGAGCTGGAGTTAGAGGTAGTTGTCAGCTGCCCCATGTTGGTCCTGGGAATGCGACTCTAATCTTCTGGAAGAGCAGTAAGATCTCTTAACCACTGGGCCCCTCACAAAGTTCTATTATAAGCCTAGAAAGCACTAGTTCCTTGGTTCAATCTCCAACACTTCCTCCCTCCCTGCCCCCCAAAAGATTTTTATTTAGCTATTTTACATGTACCACAGTTCAATTTTCTAAAATTGTTCAGAAAAAAAATATATACCATTGATACTCTATGAACTGATAGTCTCAAAACTGCCACACCTGTGTTGAAGATGCTTCAGATGGATTAACTGATTCAAATTCCTAGTTGTGGAGAATTAGAACATTGTAGATCTAAAGTGAAAATTATGGGCTACTGTTAATTCCCTTACAACGATTTATCACCTATCTCTATATCTGACTTAATATTCCTTTAACTATCAGCTACAATCTTGAATTGTATTCTCGGCAGGCCACTAGTTCCCACCAACCCCAAAACTAAGAGCATCATTTATAAAGCACCTAAACACTCCAAGGAGTTATTTCTTTTTGCTGTCCCCCACCTGTCATCACTCTGGAGGCAGTGGGACCTGGTAGAATGGAGCTGATAAATGAGGTGGAATAAAGTCTCATGTGACCTTTCTTAACACTCAGAGCATCAGACAATTTATACTTTGAGAGTTAACAAAGGTCACATGAGTAACGTTCTCATGAGCTCAAGCTGTATACAATCATAAGGACAAGCCACATCGGTCAAAAATATGTTTTCCCACAGGGATGTACAAAGGATAGTCGAAACATTTAATTGATGATGAGTAATCTGAAGTAAACTCACTCCTGTCTGCTGCACCTGGGAGGAACACAAAAACACATTCCCAGAACAGTTCCGTGCTTTGAAGAAGGCACAAGTCTCTTGTGCTTTTGGAGTGTTCTCACAAGTGACTAGAATCCTCACATGACGACGTCTGGACTGCATGTGTTCTGACACCCATCTCCTGGCTGTCTTCTCCAGTGACCTACGGTAAATGAGTTGACTCATGGCTGCCCTTCTGTTCTGTGACCATAAAAGTTCATGCCATCACTTCCACACAGTAGAACATAGCGTTAAGGGCAACGTGAATCTGTCTTCAGTCCACTGTCACCCATAATTGACTAAGAATAAGGTACCCCTATTCCCTGGGGAGGAGAAATCTATGTTCTTCATTAACAATGGCTCCAGCAAAATTGTTACAGTTCTGCTCCATCCGGGAGTGTAACTAGGGAAATGTTACAGTTCTGCTCTGCTCCAGCTCAGGTGAAAATTGTTACTTCTCTGCTCCATTCCATTATAGCCAAAGGTCTCACCCAAACCTCATTCAAAAGATTTGTTGGGAGGGAAGAATCCAGGAGGGTGGCTGCCTCTGCCAGGGTGGAAAAAGGCAGCTCCCAAACTGAACAGGCACAGGGCTTGTACAAGGCTTCTTAGAGGCAGAATTTTTCCGGGGAGATTTTCCGGGTGGGAATTGGTGGAATTTCAATCCCTGAGTTTAGACTAGCTCCGAGGTTGGCTAGATTTCATGCTCAGGGATTGGTTGGTTTTTGTGCTGAGTTGGTCAAGGAGTGTATTTCTTTGGTTTTGGTTTCAGGACCAAAGTGTGTTTCTTTCCCTGTCGGTTTTAACCTTTTGGCTCTGGTCTCAGGGTCAGGGTGTTTCTTTGGCCCTAGTTTCAAGGCCAAAGTCTATTTCTTTGGTTGGTCCTTTTATCCGACAAAGGCTTCCTCTGCTTTTTCATTCACAACCTGGGGTCAGACACCATATGAATAATTCTCTATGCAGAAAGGCTTTTGAGTTCCCATTTGCTCCCACCTGACCTACCCTTTGTGCCAGCACACCTAAGGTGTGGCTCATTTGCTCTTCGGAAACAGAAGGCGACAGCAAGCTTGTATAGAGCTAGAAGCAGTTCTTGAGGATGAAAAGGGCCAAGGAAAAACATCTTGACCCTGACTTGACCCCAGGACCAAGGCTTGAAATCCCACCAATCCCTGAGCTTGCCCCAGAATCAGACCACAAAAATCTACCAATCGCAAGCTACCCTGGAAAGCTCTGCCCCCTAAGAAATCCTGTATGAGGTCTGTACCCTGTTTGGTTTCCTGTTGTTTCTCACACCAGGGAGGAAGCCACACTCCTGGATGCTTCCTTCCCAATCAATCTCTAGAGTGAGGCTTGTTGTGCAGTGTGACATTTTCCCCTGAGAGGACTCCAGCTGTAACAGTTTTCACCAGAGCAGAACTGTTAACACTTTTCCAGGGGAAACCTTCCCCTAGCAGAGTTATTACACTCTGGGAACCTAAGCAGAGCTGTAACACTGTCTCTGGGGAAACTTTCCCCCAGCAAAGCAGTGCTGTAACACTTCACGGGTCCTGAACAGAGCTATAACACCTCTGAGCAAAGCTGTAACAACTTCACTGGGGAAACCCTCCCCTGCCAAAGCAGAGTTGTTACATTTGCTTTGGGGAAACCTTTCCCTGGAGCAGGGCTGTAAGCTGTTAGGCTTGTGATGACTTTAGGTATTCCTTGGCTCCCGACTGCCACCTAAGCTGCATTGCTAACAGTTTTCGAGCAGCCCAAATACACTCAGAAGCTAGGAGAAGAGAGGTTTAGTTTAGCGTAAGGGGCCGGGGTGAGAAATGTTGGGAGGAGCCACAGGTACTGCATGAGACTTGTCCCAGGCTTCCATGGTACCTGACAGTACACAGATCATGTTCAGTACATCTTCACAAAGTGAATACTCTGCTATAACTACAGTTAAAGAGAAAAATAACCAGATCGCCCATCTTCACCTAAACCAAGATAAACATTCAGGGACTTGTGTCGATCAAATAGTAGAGTAATAGCAATAATTACGAGGGACAATCACTTAATTTCACATAAGATATATTCTAGTTCCAGCGCCTCATGAAAATACTCCCCCACATTTAATGCAGACACTGGACAGCAGTAGTCCTCAAAATGGGGTCCTCAGACTAGCAGCCTCAACATCAGTGGGGACTCACTAGACTTGCAAATTCCAGGGCTTGCCCCGACCCCAGCTAGAACTCTAGAAAATTCTAAAGCAGAGCCCAGCAATTAGTGTTTTAATAAGCCCCAGGTTTCAATAAGATGAACATTCGCGTTGGAGAGAACACTCTGTGTGATCACGCTTGTAACTGGGTTAAGTAAGTACTCATGTTTATGTTTGGGAAATGGTGGCAAGTTCTAATTACCCTTTCTTTTTCCATGTGCCCCAGGCTGACCTGGACTCTGCAGCTGAACCCTGAATTCCTAATCTTCCTGCCTCCATCTCCTGAGTGCTTCTGGGATTACAGACGGCACAGCGCCATGAAGTCAAAAAACTGCAGGCGAAAACCGCTCCATTTTAACTAACCTTGTGGTTTCCAGAGCAAATTGATTTTTTTTGGGGGGGCGGGGGTGAGGGGTGGGGGGGGCGGTGGAAGGTTCGAGACACGGTTTCTCTCCGTAGCTTTGGAGCCTATGCTCCAAAAGGAACTGCTCTGTAGGGCTGCACGGAGACCCACCTGCCTCTGCCTCCCCATCCCTGGTATTTACGAGTTTGCGCCACCACCGCCCCCGCGGTATTTTTTAAAAAATTATCCGCCCTGCCTCAGACTGACAGGCAATTTATCAGGTTCCAGCCAATGGGAAGCTAAGCTCGAGGCACTAGCCCATCCCAGCGGCGCGATTGGCTGACGTCCACGCCCAACGCCGGCCAATCGGCGCCCGGCGCCCGCAGAGGAACGACGCGCGCCTTGGGTTTAACATGGCGGGGTCTGTCAGCTCCGCGGTCCGCAGTGCGCCGGGTTGTGCTGACCGGGAGGACGCGGACTCTCCAGAGATGGAGGAGGTGACGGAGCCGGCGGGAGACGACGCGGAGCTGCTGGAGGGCCAGGTGCAGCTTGGGGTCCCGGAGGAGGAGAACGCGAACCTGGTGGCCGAGGCCGAGGCCGTGGCTGCCGGCTGGATGCTCGACTTCCTCTGCCTGTCTCTGTGCCGAGCCTTCCGCGACGGCCGCTCCGAGGACTTCCGCCGGACTCGGGACAGCGCGGAAGGTGAGTGCGGGCCCTGCACGGCCCCGGGGGGCCCGAGACCTGCTTTCCCGCACACCCCGGGCCGGTTCACGGAAGACCCAGGCCGCGCGAAACCCGCCGCCGCCTCCTCCTCCCGTGGCTGGGAGCCCCGCCCCCCGCCGCCTTCGCCCCCCGCCGCCTTCGCCCCCCGCCGCCTTCGCCCCCAGTCAGTGTTCGAGTCGGGCTGGATTGGAAGGAGGACAGACTGGGTTAAAATGTAGAAAGCGGTGGCCAGTCCGGTTGCCACTGCCTCCTTCGGCCTCCCCCCACCTAGGTGCTCCTTGAGTTGTGTTCCGCGTTCCCATGCTGGGAACTCTTGAGTCAGTTGGCGTCATGTTTATTTGCAAGCCCCCTGGACCGGCTCACAGTGGTGGTCAAGCCAGACCCGGCCAGAAGATGATAACGTTACCATGACTGTGTGTATCTATAGTATAAATGTAATATTTTTGGTTGTGAGGCTAGCCAGCTATCCCTCCAGCCAGTATAAATGTAATATTTACCAAAATTCTCAACAAGCCATATTGACAGACTGCATCTCAGCTATAACAATATTCAGGTTATTTATAGAAAAGTGAGTTAGTTAATCTGAGGTGCTAGTAGGTGAAGAGGGGTGCTCTAGATCCGTGTGTCACGTTACAGTTTAAAAAAGTTTCCACACCGATAAAGCTGGCGCCATGGCGTGGGTAAGTAGCTGTAGAAAATTAAATCCTGAATTCAAGTCACTTCACTGTACTTCCGTTGAGAATAGGCTACGGTTACTCCGTGGTGACAGACTAGAGTTGGAGACATAGCAGTGAACTCCTGTTAGTTAATACATATGCGGTCTTTTGGCTTCGTGTGCTGTAACATATATCTGACGTAATCGGCGCATGGAAAGAAGAGGTATATCTTGCACAGTTCTGGGTGTTTCTGTGCCTGGAACCCTGGAGAGTCAGCTCATCATGGTGCCCAGCTCCTAGTGGAGCAGAAGATCGAAGGTGGCAGTCTTTCAAACACGGGGCACAATCTCAGCTACCCCTGTTAATAAGTTAAGAGCAGTGTATCCGGGAGAGAGCAGACTGTCAAAGGTGGCAGCCACAAGGGAGCAGAACTTTTTGGTACCAGGATGTAAGAGAGACTGGAGGAATAAAGGTCCCGCAGCCCCTTAAAAAGACACCCTCGATGACTTAACATCTGCAGGAGGCTCCATGTCCTAAAGTTCTACAGTCTCAGCAAGTGTGTGGACCAGGCCTTGAGAAGGAAACGTTCTAGATCCAAACTACAGCAGATGAATATAGGAAACTTTTAAGAAGTTGGAAGGAGGGAGGCGTGCCTAGGGGGCATAGTACAGCTTGTGAATGCTTATCTTACAAGCCTAGGACCTTAGTTTGATCCCCAGAACCCATATAAAAAAGCTGAACACATTGTATTCGCAGCACTGGGAAGACAAGGTTCACTGGCCGGCCTGCCTACTTTGGCAAGCTTCAGACCAATGGAAGGCCTTGTCTTCAAAGGGAGAAGGGAGATGAGGAGAGGTGGCTCAGTAGTTAAGAGTTTAAATGTTAAAAAAAAAAAGTTTGACAGTGTCTGAAGAATGAGACCCCAAGTTTGCCCTCTGGCCTGTGTATGTGTGACATATCCGGGAATATGGTTGGCTCACCAGTATACATATTCACTGCCAAGTGCATCTTTGTGAGTATTCAAATATTTGAGAAATAAATGTTTTAAAATCGATCTTTATGAATTGAACAAACTCAATAGAAACCTTGACATATGTATAATATTTCCTATAATATAAAGAATTTCATAGTATAAATTTCAAAGTAGTGCTTTGATACATTTTATAATTTAGATATGACTCTTTCCTTGGTACTATTTGTAAAAGCAATTTTGAGTTTTTCACAATTGAGTTACATTTTATAAGAACAATATGTTACAATACTTTCTGATTTTTAAAAGATTGAACAATTAGAATCTATAGGTCTATGTTTATGATCAGTTTTTGTTGAGTGTTAGATTAGTCAAGGTTCTCTAGAGTAACAGAAGCTACAGAATAAATCTATATATAGAAAAGGAATTTATTAGAATTATTTACAGGCTGTGGTCCAGCTAATCCATAATGGCTGCCTGTGTACGGAGTCCAAAAATCCAGTAATTAATTGTTCAATCCATGAGGCTTGATGTCTTAGCTGGTCTTCAGTATATACTGGAATCCCAAAGTAGGAAGTAGGCTCTAATGTCAATGAAGGAATGTTTATCGAGGGTGGAAGGACACTAGCAAAAAGAGCTTCCCTCTTCCGTCTCTTTTATATAGGCTTCCAGTAAAACATGTGGCCCAGATTAGAGGTGGATCTTCCCACCTCAGAAGATCTGGATCAAAGGTTTGTCTTCCCACCTAAATTCCAAATTAGAAGTGGATCTTCCCACTTCAGATAGTCCAATTAAGAAAAAAAAAAAATCACTCATAGATGTTTTTGGTTCTAGTTAATTCTAGATGTAGTCAAGTTGAGAACCAAGAATAGCCATCCCAGGTGTTATAATCTAATACTTTACACTGAATTGTGGCTACCAGATTGTGATAATATTTTAATAAAAGTCTTTCTTTTCTTTTTTAGCTATTATTCATGGACTACCCAGGCTTACAGCTTACCAATTGAGAACTGTGTATATATGTCAGTTTTTGACAAGAATTGCAGCGGGAAAATCTCTTGGTAAATACAAATTTGATATTAGAAATCTTTTAACTTATGTCTAAATATAAGACATGAGAAACTGATGAGCACTATATTTTCCTTTTGTGGCAAGGAGAGAAAGTTTGCCTATACATCTGGCATACACATAAGCATATCTAAAGCAAATAAAGAAATACAGTTTTGTCTTTCTGGAACAGTGACTCTCAAGCTTTAGCCTGCTTCATATTATTGAAAGGGCTTCTTAAAACAAGAGAGCCATTCTGCCTCCCCATGAGTTTGGCCCCAGATGATTCAGATGTTATGGTGGGAGGACTACATTTCATAGACTCCTGGAGATTTCAGGTGACGTGATGACAGCCACCATACACACACTGTTTGCTGGCAGCTGTTGAAACTTGATGCCTGTCCTTGTACAAGAAAACATAATTTGTAGTTGTAATCTGTCTCCCTTATTTTTATGGTTCATTTTAGACGATAATGGACAACTTTATTTTATTAATCATGACTCATATTTGCAACATGGTCATTTAGAAGGCTGTTTGGTAAAAACAATTTATGTTGGTTTTTATAATTTATAAAATACTTTCCAAGCAATATTTGTTGGTGAGCAGTACTTACATGGAACTGCTTACTTATAAAAATGTATTATATAAACTCTCAGACTATTCACCATACTAAATTATACCTAAGCCATATAACCTGCTTTATTTGGAGAATGAAATTAGGGGCTTGGTGTCTGATATTATTCCTGGGGCAATTAACAATCTCCCCACAATATGGAACCCATGACAAACCAGAGTAACGTTGACACCAAATTCTAACTCGGTGAACCAGTTGGTTTATTGTAGTTACTTAACAGGATCGTGGACAACTCAAAAGCAATTGCATCACCAAAAGCTCATCCTGGTATGAGTGGCAACTCAGGAAAGCTGAAACTCTAGAGCTCTCTGGATAACTTGTAGGCAGTTCAACAGGTTAGGGAGTCTCCTTTTCTCAGTAGCCCCTACTTAGCCATAAGGGAGGGGCTTGTACATCTGGTAAGTTTCAGGGACTTCCTGGGTCTTTATACGCTTACCTCTAGGATGGAATATTTGAACTAGAAGGAAACTGCTACACAGCAGGGCTAAAATAGATGCAGAAGAGAGGGCTATGTGTAGGTTAGGGCCTGTGGCTGAAAAAGCTAACAAGATGATGTAGACACAATTGGAAAATTTCAGACCATAATTTACAGTATTGTAGTTAATTGGGTAGTTTTGTAAATTAGATGTGGCAGAATATTCTAAACTGCTTAGCAGTGCTTTACATATAATAGTTACTCTGAATATCTTCGTTTCTTTCCAGATAATCTTCCCTTCAAGGGATAAAAAAACAGATTTTGTAACTAAGCTGTGGTTGACTTGTTTTGTTTGTTCATTTTTGCAGAGACAGGGGTTGAACCCAGGGTCTCGTACATATTAGACAAATGCTATACCAGTGAGCCATATATATCTATCCTGACTCCATGGCTTAATCTTTAAGTGTACCAGGATTCTGATTTGAATATATATCTTAGATAAAAATCACAAAGATCATCGAGCAAGAATCAGTTTCATCATAGTTAAAGTTTAGGGTTTTGTTTGTTGTGTTTTGCAGTGCCGTGTACCCAGGGCCTTTGACTTGAAGGTGAATGTGCCACCATCAAGCTGTAGACCCATTGGATTTTCGGTGACCTTTTAGTAATTCCTCATAGTAGCACTTCCCAGTAGAAAAGTGGTCCACGTTTGAAATTTAAGATGTTTTAGTAATTAAATTAAGACAACTAAAAGAAAGCAGAATTAATTTTAATGGTATCTTGTTTAACCCAGTAATCCAGTATTTTTAAAATGCCAAAAGGTTGATGAGGTATCTTATTTTTGTAGTAAGTTTATGATGTAGTATTTTATGTTTAAAGTAATCTGTTTCAGCTAGTTGCGTTTTAACTCCTAAGTGCTTATAAGTAGGTAGTAGCTGCCATATTGACTCCTGTCTCCAGCCCCACAGAGCTGAAAAATAAGACATCTCAGGGGGGAAATGTTTATAACAAGTTTTCTCATCTCAAAAACTTTTATGTACCTCAGGCTGTCCAGAAACTCATAGTCCTCCTGACACAGGGACTTGTAGGTGTGTGCCACCATGCCTGACTCTTTATTTCTTCAGGTCTAAGATTAGGAATTTCCAGGCCTCTTACACTGCAGCAGAGTTCAGCAGGTGCACTGTGAGGAAAAGCCAGTCATGTGTGTTCAGTTTCTTTAGTTTCCAGTCTACCAATCCAATGTCAAGGAACCCATCAGAAGCTTTTCTGATTTCTCTTTTCCCTGTAAAATGCTGCCTACTCGACCAGGTCTTCAAACCCCATCCAGAAGTAAGCCCGGGCAAGAAAAGAGGAGACAGGCGCACGTTAGCAGCTCACCTCCACGAGACTCTTCAGAACTCCGGCTTGCCTCACTCTCGTTTCCATGTCAGCTCCTTGTCCTTTGCAACACGACTTGACATTTCCACCTGTCCTACTTAGAGGGATTATGTGATGGTTATGTGACGCCTACCGCTTTGCCGTTCTGCTCCAGGCTGGGGCCTTTTGTTCTTCACTTGGATTTTAGCACCCCCCCCACCCCCCCCACCCCCCGGTTCTATGAGAAATGTAAGTGGAAGGTTTATAAATTACGTTGAGGGGCCAGAGAGATGGCTCAGTGGTTAAGAGCACTGGCTGCTCTTCCAGAGGACCCAGGTTCAATTCCCAGCACCCACATGGCAGCTCACAACTGTCTGTAGTTCCAGTTCAGGAGATCTGACACCTTCACACCAATGCTCATAAAATAAAGTAAGAAAAAAAATAATAAATAATAAATTACATTGAATCTGTTGATCACTTTCATAACGGTAGCCATTTTTACAATATTCTGTCAGTGAGTATGGGAGGTCTTTTCATCTTCTGGTGTCTCCAACTTCTTCAGTATCTTAAATTTTTCATTGTACAGATCTCTTACCTCCTGGCTTAGATTTAATCCTAAGTACTTTATTTTACTGTGATCAAGATTTTTTTCCTGGTGCTTTTCTCAACAAACTTATTATTGGTGTAAAGGAAAGCTACTGAATTTTGCATTTTGATTTTAAATTCTGCTACTTCTCTAAAAGTGTTTATCAAATCCAGATGTTTTGTAGTAGTTATTAGGGTCTTTTGGGCACAGAACCATGCCGTCTGCTGAGATGAGCTGTTCTTTGAGACACACAGTAAGTGGTCTTTAAAGGTCCTGGTATGTGCCTCTCCCAGGTTTCTAGTCCTGCTTCAGAGAACAAGGAAAGTTGCCTGATAAGCTTTTTTTATTAATAAGAATGTCTTTTGTATCCCTCTGCCTTATATTCCATCTCAGCTTTCCCAAATGTTCTTTTTGTCCTGTCTGTATTTCTTGGTTATTTTCTCATTATCCTTTTTTGTTATTTCTTCTTACAGCACTTGGCTTCATGTGTGCAGAGTAAGTGTTCTACTGAACTGCATCCCTAGGTCATATTCTAGAGCTTAAGCAGTTTCCAGATGTACCTAGTCATCCATGTGTTTGAAAATTCCTGAATGATTCTCAAGTAGAGCAAACATAGAGCCCCGGCACTATAATGTACTGCTAGGAACGTACTAGGTATACTGGCTTGTTCACATTATGTCATTTATGGATTATGAAGTCCACATGGACAGAACTTGTTTTTATTTTTGTTTTGAAACAAGGTCTCACCCAGGCTAGGCTTGAATTGTGAGTCATGCTCCTGTCTCAGCCTCAGAAGTGCTGGGATTATAGACTTGAGTTACCATGTGTTATGGTTTGTTCTTTGTGTTTGAATCTTAAGTACTGAGTACAACTTGGATTATAAATTATTATTTTTTTAACCTGAAATATTGGAAATGCCAAAAGAGGCCAACAGAAAATTTAAATCCATGAAACTGCTAATATGGATGGCTGTTTAGTATATGAAGTTATACCCAACTTTAAATTTCGCTTCAATATATTCACTTATTGTGTAGTTGAGTTGAAATGAACCCTGACAGTTATGAGACTAGAGCTTTAGAGCAATATAGCTAGTAAATGGTTCCTGCCCCAGAATTTAACATCTAGTTGTATGATGGAATAAGAGCATTTTTACCTTCAAGACACTTAAAATTGTAGCCAGGCATGGTGGTACATACCTGTGTTCCCAGCACTCTAGAGGCCAAGACAGAAAGAAAGAACTGGAGTTTAAGAACTGGGCTATATAGCAAGACCTGTCTTAAATAAATTTTTAAAAAATTAATAAAAAGTTTCTGGTTTTTATAATCCCAGTGGTTTTTCTTTCTCTCTCTCTTTTTTTTTTGTGAACAAATTAACTTATAAAAATCATTTCCCTAAACTGTTCTGTATGAAAAATGCCTGGCATATAGTATATAGTTGATAAATTTGAAAAAGGCGAAGTTTTTAAGGTTCTACTTAACTTATAGTTAATTTGCTTTTCTGTTTTAAAAGATGCACAGTTTGAAAGTGATGAGCGTCTTACACCCTTGGAATCAGCCCTGATGATTTGGGATTCAATTGAAAAGGAACGTGACAAACTTCATGAAGAAATACAGAATTTAATTAAAATTCAGGTATGAGTATTATTTTGTGCTTGCTGTTTTGCTAGAAAATTGTATCAGTTGCTTTTCTCGTTGATGAAACAAAATCCCTAACAAGAAGCATCTTAAGGAGAGGCTGTAGAGATGGCTTAGTGGTTAAGAGCAGTTCAGTTCCCAGCCCCACATTAGGAGTTCACAGCCACCTGGAACTGCACTTCCCTGTTCTGGTCTCTGCAGGCACCTGCACACATGTGTGCGCACACAGATTTATACACATAAAGAAAAATCAATCTTCTGAGGAAAAAATGGAAAAGGTAATCAGAGAAGAAGGGTTTGTTTCAGCTTATAATTTAAGGAGATACAGCCCATGTTGGGGGGCATAGCATAGGAGTGTGAAGTGGTTGGTCATCTCGTGTCTGCAGTCGGGAAGCAGGGAGAGATGAATGCCAGTGTCCACTTACTTGTTCTTATTCATAACAACCCTCACCCATGGAATAGTGCTGCCACTGTTGAGGGTAGGTTTTCACTTCTCAGTTAGTCCATTCTGGAAATATGCTTCTCAGTCCAGTAAATTTGAGAGTGAATATTAACTGTCACAAATATGAAAACATCTAATATCCAGAATAAAAATAACCTGTCAGAAGTTGTGCTATAAACCTAGTGAAAATCTTAATGAAATCTTCTCATTTAGAGCATTGGCCCTTGGTTTAGAGCCTTCACATGAGCACCAAGCCCAGAACCTAATGTTTCATATCTAGGTGTAGGTTGCCTCTCTGTTGCCGGAAGCACTGTAGCTATTTAAAGTTCCAAACAAACTTTAAAACGAAGGATTCAAACTCTTCTCTTTTTTTAACGAAAGGATTATAAATACAGAGGAAAAATAGCAGGTTGCTTGTTTATTATAGGGTTTTGGTTCCGGTGCTGGGGATTGAGCCCAGGGCCTCACACATGCTGTGCGTGGATTTTTGTGATGAGAGTATGTAGAATTTTAACCATGCTAAGACTTGAATTTTAGTAGACTGCTTAAGAATGAGAAACCAGAAAAGCCAAACATCTGCCTGCTGTTAAAGAAAATACTTCCTTAGTTCAATACATTTTCCCTCAGCTTTAGAAGGTTTGTAATTTTTTTTCTTAAGTTGTATAAGAGAGAGAAACCCAAGGTAGTTTCCTACTTAGTGTGATGCCAAATGAAATTAGGACCCGGAGATGAGACATTGTGTAGAAAAACGCCTGCTTCTTTGAGAATTCAACTTACAAAAAAGAGATTTTTCATGTTTTCACAATCTTTGAGACTCTAAAGAAAGCTGACTGTTTATTACACTACTAGACAGTTGAGAAGGGGACAGTGACATTTAGGACATTGTTGCTTTTGCCTCGCTGTTGTGTGCATTTTACATAACAGTTCCTCATTTTGGGTTGTGAGCCTAGCCCTTAACGACTGAGCCATCTCTCCAGCCCTCACATAACAGTTCTGTTGGGGGTAGGTGTACTCTCTCCACCATGTAGAGCATATAGAAATGAGCAGCAGGATCAGTAGTCTTTCCAAATAATAAATTCACTTCTAATCTATTAATTACTGCTTAGAGATACTGGATATATCATTGTAAATGTGTACAGAGCTAATAAGAATTTTAAAAAAATTTTAAACCATAATTATTTCATCATTGAAAAATTACTTTATATCTTTATCAAATAAAATACATAAAAATGTTTTAAATGACGCCTTTCAGAATTAACTATGCACTTAGTCAAATAATGGTTAAGATTTGTATATGTCCTCTTTAAGGCTGTGGCTGTTTGTATGGAGAGTGGCAGCTTTAAGGAAGCAGAAGAAGTGTTCGAAAGAATATTTGGTGATCCAGAATCTCACACGGTAATTATTTATATTAAAACAATAGAATTAATTTTACAGCTGTTTATATAGGGTGAGGAAAATGGAAAGAAAATTGAAAGAGAAAAGAAATGCTTTACCAAACTCAGTATATTAAAAAAATAATTCTAACAATCCATACAAAAATGTACTATTTCAGTTACCCTTTTTTATATCAAGTACTTACATTGAACAGTATGGCTGACTTGATAGTCAGTCACATTTCAAGGGCTCAGAAGTTACATTGGGGCTTGAGGGCTGCCACATTAGGCAGCATAAATATAGAGAGGCAGTATAACTTGTTTACTTTTCTAGAATCTGTCACCTCATTTATTGATTGATTGATTGACTGATTTTTATTGTTGTGTTGTTGAGGTAAAATCCGTTGCTGTATCCAAGGCTTACCTCAAATCTCAAGATACTTAGCCTTCGCCACTATAGTGCTAGGACTGTAGACACGTGCTGCTGGGCCTTCCCCGTTTTCTGTGCTTTCCTCTTCCTTTTTCTCCCCTTTTCGAGAGTGTGACACCACACCCAGCTGGAGTTTGTTATATGATCATTTGCAGTTTGTCTGTATATATTAATACGGTCAGTAGGCCTCTGGTTGTTAAAATATTAAATACAGTGTTGTTGGGGTAAATTAAATATCTTCAAAGAAAGAAAAGATAATCTTATATTTTTAGCAATTTTTCTTTATTGAACATCTATCCCTCTAGAAGAAAACAGTGTGTTCTGGATATTTAAGTAGATATGTTTGCACCAAGAAACACACTTGTGGGAGGAGCCCCTACATCAGGAAACTAGCTAGCTCAGAATGTAGCTCTATGGTGGCACTATAGCACCTGCCTAACATATGCAAGTGCTAGATTTGGTCCTTGGCACCACCAAAAAGAAAGATCAGCCAGGCATGGTATAGTACATACTAATCCTACACTCAAGCAAATCTTCTGGTCATTTGAGAAAGTGTTTGTCTTTCCCAGCATAACTACTAACCAGTCTTCTCTCCCTAAAGATCTGTTTTATAATGGAATCATATACAAGGTTGTGATTATAGTAGTTTATTCATTTCTTTTTGTTGTTGTTGTATGAGTAGGTAGTAATTTAACTTTCCTGTGCTGGACATTTAAGTTATTTCATTCTTTGCTTTAGGTAAGACATTATCTGATTTGACCCTTCTCCTAGGATATAATACCCCAGAAATTTCAGCAGAGAGCCTGATGATTTTGTTGGATTTCCTACTCATATGTTGTCTTCTTAGTATTATTAGATTAATGAAACCTGTTTCTGTCTCATTAGAGAAAAACTTAGGAACAATAAACATAAAGTACTTAGGAGAAAGTATTCAACTGCCCTAGTGTTGGCATAATCAGTGAGACATTGCCAACTAACTCATTGAACTAGTTCCCATACTTTCAGCCTGGCAGCAGTTTTCATTGGTTAGAACACCAACAATTGGCCCACAGGATGGCCAAGTGTTTAGATGCCTGCTTATCTTCCTCTCTGAAGTATAAATTGATGCATTAGAGAGCCAAGGAAAAATATGCAAGCACACATTCCAGTGAGTTCCATTTCTGGATAAATATCTTAGAATAACTTATTTTTTCTCTATATGCTAAAAGCCATGAAGTTTTAAAGACAAACAGGAAAATCCTAGATCTTACTGAGACAGTCTAGGATCGAGCCTACAGTCTTTTCAAGTTCTATAGTATTTATTGCTTATCCAGCATTGAGACAACTACTGTATAAGAAAAATTTATATTGAGCACAAAAGGAGTAAGAGAAATTGTTTGAACATTGCAGTAATAGCAAATAACCGCAGTTCTTCAAGCAGCTAAATGAACAAATGATGACTGATCAATATACTAGACAGTGGTACAAATAACTTTTCCTATACATTAACATAAGTAATTGCCGGGAACATAGAATTAAGGAAAAACACACTTTTACAAATGCTACTATTTGTGTAAGATTAAAGCCACAGGACTTCAGGGATGCTGCAGTGAAGTAAATTGCTTGCTATGCCAAAGTATGACGACCTGCACTCAGATTCCCAACGCCCACATAGAAAGCCAGACATAGTGGCAGGTACCTAATCCTGGTGTTGGGAAGCAGAGACTGGAGGATCACTGGGGCTTAGTGATTAACCAGTCTAGCCAATCAGTGAGGACCGGGTTCAGTGAGATAACCTGACCAAAAACATCAGGCGGAGAGCAATAGGGGGAGACTGACATTGATGCAGGCATCATATATGCACACCAGAACCTATAAATCACGTTAGAACTAGTGAACAACACTACCTTATTTACAGACATATAAGTATGTTGTACAAGTGTAAAGAAATGGACCTTGGGGAGGCGGCAGTACTGGGAACAGAACCCATTGTCATGCTTAGACTAGACAAGCACTCTGCTTCTGACGAGCTGTGCACACCTTCAGCCCTAAGCAGTTTATAAAGATAGTCAATTCTGAAGTCTGGGGAACAGTTAGAGGTGAGGACAAAAAAGTGGGATGCAATCAGATTGTGGAAGTAAACAGATTTTAAACATATTGATAGGGTTTTGTTTTTAAACTGGGCAGTGGACAATTAAGTTTATAATCTCTGTTTCCTCCTATGTGTCTGAAACAAAACATTCAGAAATGTAGGGCATTAAAAAGGAAGAAAATACATGCGTTTTTAAAATTGTATCTTGAGTTTATGTTTACAAAATAATTGTTTTTCAATCAAATATATACTTGAGATTTGTTTTGTATTAATACATTTCTGTTTTTTCTTTAGTCTTTAGAAAGGAAATTACTCAGGATAATCTCTCAGAAAGATGCATTCCACTCCTTTTTTCAACACTTCAGCTATAACTGCATGATGGAGAAAGTTAAGAGTTATGTGGATTGTGTGCTAAATGAAAAATCATCAACTTTTCTAATAAAGGTACACATGTTATCTCAAGGAGAGAGAAATTGTTATAATGAAGGAGAGTACTTGAAAGAGAAAGTCTTATTATCTAACCTGAATTTTAAGTTAATGGCGATTAAAGCGGAATATCTTTTTTTTTCATTTTTAAATTTATTTATTAAATTTAATTTTACATATCAGCCACGGATTCCCTTGTTCTTCCCCCCTCCCA